TGGTTTTAATTATTTTTTTAAATTTTTTTCAAATAACTTTTCTAGATGATAGGTTATTATTTGTGCATTAGCATAAAGGTAGAGCTTTGGGGACTTTTTTTAGTAATGTTTAGGGTCAGTTGTACAGTTTTGAGTCTCGTGAGTTGGTTTGATTTAGTTTTTACTGGGTGTTTGTTTTTATTAGCAGTTGTGTCATTTTCAAGGTGTATTTGAGTTTTTTGGGGTTTTTGAGATACTGGTTTAGGAGGAAGTTTATGATGAGAATGTGCAGAGGTTTTGGGCTACTTTATAGTGGGATTTAAAATTTATTGACAGTTAGGTTTATTTGAGTTTTTATTAGGGTTCAATGACGTTGTGGGACCATTTTAAATCTGGTTCCAATAAAGGGGTGTCCTTGGTTTTCATTTGGTTAGAGGCAGGAGTTGTATTTTAAATAATATAAGTAATATAGAAATGTGGATCTTAAGATAGAAATATTTAATAAATATATAAAGAGAAATTGCTAAAATATGAATATAAATTTACATATAAATATGTGTAAGTAATATGAAGAGTTGTAGTGTAGAATATAAATAACATTATATGGCAATATAAATTATAAATGGGAATATAAATATAAAAATATGTAAATATAGCTTAAAAGAAAGGGAATGTTTTGGCTTTTATTTAAGTAGAGGCAGGGGTTTTATTTTGAATATTGTAAGTGTTCCAGAAGTAAAAATCCTGACGCAGAAACGTTTAATCAATATAAAAAATATGAATAAAAATATATAAAAATTCATAAATAACTACTCGCATCAGATGTATTATAGAATACAAATTTATTTATAACTTGACATTGGTATAGATAAATGTATAAGTAAGCAATATACATTAATATGCATTATAAATACAAATATGAATATAAAAATTGAATATAAGGATAAAATCTATTTAAATATTGTTTGCAACAAAGGCTTGGGGTTTTTTTTATTCCTATTGTGTTAGAGGCAGGGTTTTTATTTTAAATAATATGAATGTAGATATTATTGTTATTTATTTCTAAATATGGAGATATACAATCGAGATATAAATATATATATAAAAACACAAAATATAAAGAAATACAAATAATAGGAAGAGATGTAATGAAGAATACAAATAACAGTATACATAAGTGTACATTTTAAATGTAAATATGAATATGAACCTGAAAACTAGAATTTTAAAAAATATTTAAATACAGTTGAGAAGAAAGGGGTTCTTTTTGGCTTTAATGTGGATGGAGGCAAAGGTTTTATTTTAAATAATGCAAGTGTTACAGAAGTAAAAATCGTAACAGAAATATATACTTACCATGTAAAAATATGTATAACAATATACAAATAAATTTAAGTTTTAGGGATATATGCAATATGGAATAGAAATGTATTCATAAAAAGAAATGTATAAATGGACAGTGTACATCAATATACATTGTAAATAGAAATGTGAATATTAATAGGAAAAAACTTTTTAAAAAATATTTAAATATTTTTTAAAAGAAATTGTTGTTTTTTTGGGTTTTTTTTGTGTGTTGTGTTTTGTTTTGTCTTTTATCCTTTTAGATTAGAGGCAGAAGTTTATTTTTCCTCTTCCCCGTTGTTTTGGGGCATTTATTTCAGAGCAGTTTTCGGCGGGGGCCTCCCCTGTTCTTTTTCGCCGCCTTCCCTGCCCGCAGCCCCGAGGCGCGCTGCGCCCCCGGCTGGGGCGTGCGGCAGTGCTGCCGCCTTGTGGGCAGAGCGCTGTACTGCAGCCCTGCACCGAGAGGCCGCCACCTTGGGAGTGGCGCGTCGTGGATGTCGCGGACTTTTAATTGACCTTCTCATCATGGCGGCGAAAAGGGCGGGGAAGTGGAGGACCGGGGTTGGTCTAAGTGGACGGCCTGCACAGAATACTGACGTCATGGCGGCTCCGACGGATTTTTCTGCGGCGTTTCATGTGTACCCAACACACGGTGTGGGCTCAGCGGCGCCGCGGGCGGGGTAGTTTGGCGGGTTTGTGCCAGGCATGTGGGTTAAACGCCTTGCTGTGCCGGGGTCCTCTGACGGCCGCTTTCGCGCCCTGAGGGAGCCGAGCCGGGCCGAATTGTTCCGAAGAGCCGAAGAGCCGAGGGTGGCCGAAAACAGCCGAGTTTGCCCGAAGAGCCGAGGGAAGCCGGAAATAGCCGAGTTTACCCGAAGAGCCGAGGGTGGCCGAAAACAGCCGAGTTTACCCGAAGAGCCGAGGGTGGCCGAAAACAGCCGACTTGAACCGAAGAGCCCAGGGCGGCCCAAAATAGCCCAGTTTACACCAAGAGACCATGATAGCCGACTGGAACCGATAGCCGAGTGTAGCCGACACTGGCCGCATTTAGACAATGTGCCCAATATGACCGAGTTTAGTCGAACCGTGCCGAGTTCGGCCGAAGAGCCGTACTGAAATGAGTTTAGACCAAGAGCCGAACCAAGCCGAATTCAGCCGAGTTTCATTAAACAGAACCGAACAACGCCGCAGGGCTCTGCCTGCAGTGCGCCTGTGCAGGCGGCAGGGATCGCTGTGCCTGCAGTGCTCCGAGGCAGACGGCAGGGGGCGCTGTGCCTGCAGTGCGCCTGTGCAGACGGCAGGGATCGCTGTGCCTGCAGTGCTCCGGGACAGACGGCAGGGGGCGCTGTATAAAGTAAGTAGACAATATCAACTCTCTATAAGAAGGAATAAAAGCTCTATGTCACGTGCAGCAGTAGAAAATTTCAGGCTCCCAGGGAATAAATAGTTTTCTTTAAATCCTTTTCGTTCTGGAGTTTTTTTTTTTACTCCCAGGTAGCCTGATAGTTTCTACTGCTGTTTTTTTATTCTAAAGCTAGAAAGGTAAACCAAGATCAGAAATACAAGAAAGGGAAAGGAAAGGAAAGGAAAGGAAAGGAAAGGAAAGGAAAGGAAAGGAAAGGAAAGGAAAGGAAAGGAAAGGAAAGGAAAGGAAAGGAAAGGAAAGGAAAGGAAAGGAAAGGAAAGGAAAGGAAAGGAAGCAGGAGAGCAAGAGGGAAGGGAAGGGGTGAAAAACAGAGTGAAAAAAGAAAAAAGAATTGGAGGGGGAAAGAGAAGGCATTCGGAAGGAGCGGTGCTGCCTCAGGTCCTTCCCCGCCCAGGGGTGAAGGTCCCGTGTGATGCCCGGGAGGTTCTGCAGCTCCCGGCGGCGGGGGACGGAGCCGTGGCTGTCAGCCCGAGACTACAACTCCCGGCAGGCCTTGCTGCCGGCGCGGCGCGTGACGCAACGGCTGACGCGGCACATGAGTGGCTGGCGGGCCAGGCGGCCGCGCGGGGCTGTGCGCGGGCCGCTCCCGGCGCCTCTCCCGCGCGTGACGGCGACGCTGGACGGGCGAAGCCTCCGTCCGGCCGCCCGCACGGCGCCGAGCAGCGCGGAAGGAGCGTCCGCGGGGTTCCTCGGCCTCACTCGGCGGTGCCGGGGGCGGGGGGCGGGGCGGTGCTTTGCTGCCGCGGGCCGGGAGCTGCAGGAGCCGCCCCGGGCGAGCACGGCGAGCACCTGTGAGTGGTTTTTTTTTCCTCTAAATCGGGAGTAAATATAGCTGAGTAAAATTAGCTTGGTTTTCTTCCTTCTTTTTTAACTGAATTGTTTTTATTAAAAATCCTATTTGAATGTGTAGAAAAAGTGGGGGTGTCCTGTCATATATTGTAGCTTTTCTTGTTTACAGGGTACTCAGAAAATACGTCTCCCTTAGAGTCCCACAGAAAGGTTCTCAGTGCAATCTCTGTCAAGGTATGTATTTCCAAATAAGTGATCCCTTTAGATATTTGCCTGTGTACCTTTTCCTGTTATTCAGAGCTTGCCTTCTGTGGGTTTTATGATAAACCTGTAAAACCGGTTTTGCAAGTCTTAATCGTTGAAGGCAGCATAGAGCCTGTTCTTGACCAGACAAAGGGAAAAAGTGTGACTTTGAGGCTGAACTTGTCATTTTTCATTTGACTTGTCTTGAATTATTTAAGAATAGAGAGAACTAGAAAAAGAGAGAAATAGAATTGGTTATTGAGCACTCCCCAAATGCTCACCATGATTCAGTGTAGAGCCACAGGGCAGGGTGATGGAAAGGGCTCTATGCTTTAGAAGGAAATAAATTTAAACCTGACCTCCACAGAGTCTCACTAACTTCTGTTGTTTTAAAATACAAAATACGTTCAGGAAGTGTTGGAAGTTAGTATTTTGGGAAAGAAATGGCAGTTCCACAGAACATTCCATTTAACAGTAAATTGGAGGAGAGCCCAAGAGAAATTTTTCATCCCTTGATAGAAAAGGTAGGAAGTGACTTTTTTTGGTTTGGTTCTTTTTTCTTTATTATTTTCTGGAAATAAAAGTAATTAAGTATAGGTACTACTGGTCTGTTTCTTCCAGTAACAGGTGATAATAATAGTAGTAGTAATAATAAAAATAATAATAGAAATAATAATAACAGTAATGTAATACTACTTAAACTGTCTTTATCCATTGAACTGGCCATTTCAAATCAAAACTTCTAAACACAAATCAAACCATCATCCTTGTAGAATCTTTCACAGCAGTGGGCTAAAGATCCTGGTTTTGTTGACAGGATTTATTGGTTCTGGAAGAACAAGAGGGAAGTAGAAGCCTAACTACTTCTAGCTCACAGACCCGTCCAGTGAACAGAGCTTTGTATTTTGATGGGCTTGTGATGACTTTGAAATCAATTGGTCATTACAGTAAAAAAAATTAATGTTTTTTTGAACGTGACAGCAGAAATAACTTTAAGCACCAACTTAATAATAATAGATCACCAATTTAAGTTAAAAATTCATGCTATACTATCAAAATTTAAAGGTAAGTGATTATGTATTAGGTGATGGTATAAAGTGTATGTTCTAATGTGTAGGATGTATGCAAAGATACATACATACCTGAAAGTCCTTAGAGGAAACAAATTTTTATGTTTGCTGTCTGACTGTTTATCATACAATATTTGGTTTTATTTTGCAGGGATCGGTGAATTTTAACTTTGGAGTCCTCTATGCTAAGGATGCTCAGCCTGCAGATGATGAAATGTTCAGTAATGGTGAGTTTTTCACTTTCTCTTTAATTGCTATGCTGATCTGAATAAGAAAAAAACAAAAGCAAGAGAAAAAAAAGGATGGTTTATTATTTTTTACACTGTTATGTTTGTTTCCTCAGTATTTGCTGCAGCTCTGCTTACCCAAGCTTTGGGTTCCTTCTGTCCCACAGGGAGTTGCCCTGTTTGGTTGCATCTGGTGAAATTCACCCTGAGACCTTACAGAAGTAGCTCAAACTACGTGAGAGCCATTTGCAGTTCCCTCCACACACCTGGAGAATGGGTGACGTTTCTGAGGATGTGGCAACTGTACTTCTATCAAAACTCAGTCTGTGAAATTTCTGGGGAAAACTCTTCGGTGACCTGAAGGGTTCAAACTCTGGTGAGAATCCAGTTATCAGGTGCTCACCTGGATGGTTCCAGCTCTTAAAGTGAACACTTGTACTCTTGCCCTGTAGTTTACATCCATTGTATTTTTGTTATTTTGCAAGATTTTATGTCTTTGCAAAATATCGTCCATTTCGCTCTTTGGAACCTCTCAGATTGTTCTTTGGTGTAGCGCCACCTCATGGGACACTTGGCTGCCGTCCTGAAGGGGATGGTCGCTAGAATTGTAAATTCTGGAGAGTTTGTAAGTCTTCTGTCCCCAGGGAGCTATCATGCTTTGTTTACTTTTGTTCTGTTGGTTAGGCGCTGCTTCTCATTGCAAGTATGAATTTCAAACTACCCTGTTCTCTTTTTAACTGTTTTCCTGGTTCTCTCCGTACGGCAGGGAAAGACTCTCGTATCCTTGTCTTCAGGCTCGGTGCTGTCCACGAAGATACGGAGACTAAAAAAATCATAAGAAGCAAAATATGACTGCAGGGAAAACAAGCTGGAGAGAACAAAAGGTGATATTGTTATCCTTACCCTGTATTAGAAACATCCAATGTGCTTTGATGCTGGCAGCTGCCAGGGGCTTGTTAGCTCTTTGTAGGCAGGTGTAGGTGTTCGCTTGTAGGTTTTTTCTCTGGACAAGTCAATTCAAACTTTGCTAAGCTTATATTTGCAGATTACTCTCTAGCACAGTCCAGCATGACATTTTTGAATGCTGTAAAAAAAACATGTTACTTGGAAATTGCTAATGATGAGAAGCTTTAGGGGAAAAAAAGATTTCAGGGTTGGGAGACGTGAGAAGAATTTTGTGGGGATGTTAGACTGAAGTAAAGCACACTTTAGGCTGGACTGGCACGCTGGCAGGTCCCCTATTAAACAGTAGTGCTGAGATTAGCCTGGGGGTTGCCCATTGTTTCTGTAGAAATCAGTGTTTCCTGGTCTTCAGAAGTAAGCTGCTTTGAAAAGCTGGAAGGTGCAGCATGGTGACAATCCGTGTGCTCTGGATTAAAAGTAGATTTCAGAAGGGTCCTAGGCTTTTGTCTTTTCCTAGAAGCCGATGTAATCCTATTGAGGAGTTTTTAATTCTGTGCTGCCACGTCATCGGTCAGGGCCCTGTTGTACTAATCATCATACAGATACAAAACAAAAAATCGGACCCCGTCCCAACCACTTAGAGCCCAGAACACGATTTCCTCGGGCTGCCATTTGTGTGCCATCGGCACTCACCACGGAAGCGAGCTGGGGATTGTTGCAGCTGCTGGGAACAAACCGCTCCTCGTCACACAGGAACGGAACTGGGACGACGCCTCGGCCAGCCCCTCTCTGCCATCGTCTCCTGAATCTGCAGCAGAGCAGTTCCGGTCCATCCGGGCACGTGTAATCCAGTTCCTGATGATCTGAGCGCACGGAGCAGCGCTCCGCTGCTGTGGGGGGCTCAGGGAAGGCAGAGTGTGCATTGTCATCTTCCTGAACCTGCAGACGAATCCAAGTGAGAAGCCACAGGGTGGAAATCAGTCGCATATATGCTAAACGAAACTTGCAGGTTTTTTTTAAGAATTGTTTCTGCTTGTTCTTTTTTGTGCTTCAGTGCTTCGAAAACCTCTCTTTAAAATCAGTTCAATTCATCAGTTGAACCTTTGTTTGCAGACCCTCAGTGAGCAGAATTTGTTGCAGACTCAGTGCACGCTGTGCCGGCCTCCCGGGAGTGTGAGGGGCTCACGTGTGCTACTTTTTGCTTTAGGACGCTCTGAGGTATTTATTCCTTTTGGGATACATGACGAGAATTGCCAAGAGAGGTAGTTACAAGGTATGACATGAGGAAAAAGCCTGTCTGGTTGGAACGTTGTTGCTGTCAAAAGTTAATTTTTCCTTCTTTCTTAGCCAGTAGTTAGCTTTTTGCTTAATTTTTGTGGTATCATTATTTTATTGTTTAAAAAATGGCTTCAAAATCACTTTGGTGGTTGGTGTTGGCCACCAGTACCTTGTTCAGATTTGCCTATTTGCTTGTAGCTAAAATGTTCGCATCCTGTTTATCATTCTATTTAAGAAACTGCTGCCCAGCCAACTAATAACTGAATATCCATCTGTCTGGGACACGGGGAGAGGATTTAGGTAACGTCTTTGTTCCCAGGAAAAGGTTCCAGTGTAGTTTCTAAATAGAGGAGAAGGGGATGAAGACGCGGGGCTCTGATGCCATTGGGGCACCCCAAGGTCCCCAGGAGCGGGAGCCCCGCTGCAGTGCAGGAGCAGGTATGTTCTCATGTAATACTGAACAAATTATAAATATAAATATGACAATTTAAGCATGAAAATATTTTTTAAAATAGTTAAACAAAGTGGGTTTTTTCATTTGTCAATAGGCAGTGTTTTGATTGTAAAAATTATAACTACAAATAATATAAAGGGAGAAATCTAAGTATAGAAATATAAATATATACAGATATATATAAAATTTAAACCTATAAGAAAAAATTAGTTTTAGCAGTAGATGTGATACCTAATATAAATCATAACTTAGATACTTTCCTAGAATTTTATATATATTATATATAATTATGAATATAATGCATCAAAAGAAACTATAAATATAAATGTGAATATAATTATACAAAAGTATAAAAATATTTCAATATCGTTCAAAAGAAGGCTTTTTTTGTGTTTATTTGGTTAGAGACAGGGGTTTTATTTGGAATCATAGAAGTAGAAATCTAAATATAGAAATATACAGTCAATAAAGAAAGGTATTTATAAGAACACGACTGAACGACGCCGCCTTCAGCCGAATGGAACGAGCTCAGCCGAACCAAGGCGAGACCGGCCGAACCTGACGGGCTCGAGCGAACCTAGGCCAGGCTTGCGAGGTTGCCTGAACGGAGCCGAGCTCGGCCGAACCGAGCCCGCCGCTCTCGTGCGCGCTAATTAGCACGAGTGCTAATTAGCACAGCCCAATGAGCTCCTGTGCCACCCCGCGCTCCCGGTCGTGTCGGTACGAAGGCCGGGCCGCCCGCGTGACGCGGCAGCAGGAGAGCCCCGAGCCGGGCGAGTTTAACGTGAGGCGGCGCCGCTTGCCCGCCCTCGGGGAGGCGAGCCGAGCCGAGCTCAGCCGAACGCGCAGAGAGCGGCTCCGAGTTCGGCCGAAGCGAGCCGGAGGGACGAATGGAGCCGAATGCGGCCGTCAATAGCCGAGTTTAGCCGACAATAGCCGAGTTTAGCCGACAATAGCCGAGTTTAGCCGAAGAGCCGACTGGAGCCGAGTGACTCCGGAGCGAGCCCAGCTCCCCCGAGCGCAGCCTCCCGGGCAGGGCGAGGCGCCGGCCCGGGCTCGGGGTGCAGCCGGGGCTCTGTGAGGCTTCCCCGCCTGTCCCTCTCTCTCGCCCTCCTTCCTTCTCCCCGTATTCGCCTTCTCTCGCTCCCTTTCCCCCATTCCCTCTGCCCCCACAAGCCCGGCTCCTTCCTGTCCAGCCCCTTCCCCGCTACTCCCTTTCTCTTCCCCGTTTCTGCCTCCTCTGTCCACCCTCCCTCTACCCCCCTCCCGGGCTTTCCCTTCCCGTGCCGCTTTCCTGCACAGCCCGCCCTCCCTCGCCGCCCTTTGTCATGCCCTGCTCTCGCTCCTCTCTTCCGGTGCCCGCTTTCCTTCTTTGCCGCGCAGCCGCGGGGCTCGGGGTGCCGGAGAATGAAGGCCCGAGGGTATGGGGGTTCATCCGTGGTGCTGTTAACACAGTCAGAATGGCTCAGTGACTCTGTGCCAGGCTGGTGTGGCCTCAAAGGCTGCCCCTGCTGCTGGCAGAGTGTGTGAAGCGTCTGCTGAGCGGGCAGCGGCATCCCCCTGAACACCTTCTCGCAGCAGGGACGGAGATGGAGCCAGCCCAGCGCGTGGAAATGGATCTCTCCAGCTGAACGCTCAGGTGAAGCGAGCAGAGAACTTGCCCAGCATGAACCAGGTGAGCTGCACGTCTCCAGGGTAATGGTTCTTGCACCTTCAGAGCCACAGTGTCGCTGAGCTTTTTTTTTCCCCAGGCTTTCCATCACCTCTCAAACAGACGAATGCTCCCCTTGGAGGCTGCTGTGCCCTGGGGAGCCTGGCAGGTGGCCCCGTTGGTGAGAGGAGGGCAGCTGCAGGCAGGCAGCCCCCAGGAAAACACGGGAGTTTCAGTGGTTTCTGATGCCTGAGGAACGGGGAGATGGCGTGAGCTGAGCAGGAGTTAAGCACGGTCGTACAGAGGCCTGGCTGTTATGATTTAAGATGGCTTATTGAATATCTGTAGTTTCTATAGATATTTGTATATCTGTCCAAGTAGGATATAGAGCCTTGTGCAGGAGAAAAAGAACTCTTGATGTAAGATATGACCTGGGGGAGGCATCATGCCAGGCTATCCCTTCCAGATTTGGACGGCTTCAGTGTCTTGTGTGGCATGATGGGAAGTTCTGAAAATTAAGATTTCCTCTTTGGTGCGGGTCAGATGGGTGACGCCTGGCAGCTCGTGCACTGCCACTGTGCTAACCTGTGTGCCTCTCCTTCCCTCCCTGCTCCACAGGCAGCGCAACACGGGAGCAGCAGGGAGAGCTGGCTTTGTCCTGGAAGATCCAGGAGCTCGCGGTGGATATCTGAGCCTGCAGCTCCAGGCTGCCGCACGACGCAAGGGCTGCACACACCCAGAGCGTACAGGTACTGTCACAAACGTGGGCTGTCGTGGCTGAGCCCTCAGGAGCTGGCGGTGCCAGCTGGGAGAAGAACAGTAGCTTCCAGCCTTTTCTTTTGTCTGCGTTTCCCGTGTTCAGTCAGTCTGATTACTTCTGGGCATTGCCCAGCAGGGTGTGAAATGCTTCCAGGGCTAAAGGGGGAAAAAAAGGGAAACACAAACTATAATCCAACCTCAGGAGGGAGAAGGCATCTGTCAGGACAAACTCTTAAGAGAAATGGGATGAAGAATACTTGTTTATTCGGTCTTTGGTATGTGTAGCTAGTTCAAAGAGGTCTCCCAGTCCTTCCCATTAGCAGAGCAAAGGAAGAGCAGCAAAGCCCTCAGGCTAAGCCATTAAAAGCAGCAGCAGCAGCTTTGTGTGCTGGAGTGTGGCAGGCATTCCTAGGTTTACTTTTTGGTTTTGCATCTAGCAGTGGTAGAAGAAAGTTCTTTGCAAGGTGATAGTTCCAGCCTTGTATTGAAATGTGAGCAAAGAGGAACTTTCTCAGTTGGATTGGGGTTTATTCACAGCACTTGTAAACAGAGTTAACATTCAGATAACATGTGCAGGGAGTGTGTGCTGTGGGTTAGCACAAGTGACAAAGGAAGTGGGACAGGGCACTTTCCCCTTCAAGGTACTGGTTTTTTTTCTGGAAGAATGACGTGAGAGCAGAAAAGTTGCAATGGCATTGCAGTTCCCTGCACAGAATATACCCAGGGAGGTGAAGCACAGCCCAGTGGTGCCATTCACCTGCGCCCCAATGGGGAGCATCAGTGAAGTGAGGAGGACTGAGGAGCTCTCCCCTTGAGCAATCACAACAGTCATGTCAACGAGTGTCACCCTTTTCCAGACCACTGGCATGTGCTTGGGGACAATAACCTGTGTTTTTTACAGCCAGGTCTTCTGAGCCGCTGCTCACTGCTCGCAGTGAAAAGAAACTTGTGTACAGGCACTCTGCAAAATTGCCACCTCAGATGCCACTGAAGCACAGCTTTGGCTTTCAGGCATCTCCCCTGCAAGCTGTCCCTTGCGGCGTTTCCGCACTGGGTTCATTGTAAATTCATTCCTCCCATTTTTTATTTGTAATTTCCAAAGAATATCAGTCGACTTTTACGGCCTCTTCAGGGCTCCCCAAGCTTCATACCACACCTAAATGCTCGTTTTCACTGCCTGAAGGGCTTCTCTCACCCGAGTGATTCTATGAATTTGGCCTGTACTTCAGCTGAAGGGGAAAGCTGTACATTGATTTTGGAGAAAAAGATTTGACTGTCCAGCTGTAAATTTATCTTGTGTTTTGCCTTCCAGGTTCGCTCGTATTGTAATTTGCAAATGGCACGGCAAATGCCACGAGAGCAGCTGGTGAAGGTGGCTCAGAAGCAATGACAAGAATGTGCTGCAAAGTTGGGTCCAGCAGTCCAGCTTCCCGACACGGTAGGGCAGGCACACCTTTTGATAAAGCATCAAACGCTGTAGTTTTTATTCTTGGTGTTTGTCTGCGCTCCCATTCTGATCACCCCTTGAAGTATTATTTTTCAAAATGATATCTAGGAGAGAAATCATGTTTATTCAGGGGGAGCCATAATTTTCATCTGTTCCAAATGCACCAGGTGTGTTTTAAGGCCTGCACACACAGCAAGAGCTGCAGAGCTTGTTGTGCAGTTTCCTGCAGCACTGATTCATTCTGTATTCCAGTAACCATGCCCTGGGCTGCCAGCCAGGCTCAATGCCAGGAGCGGGAGGAGCAGACCCGAGAGGTGCTTTGGGTGGAGCCCAGCCAGGTTTCAGGCAGCCCGCAGAGTCTGCCCTTGCAGTCCACGCCGGTCTGCTGTTGCCATCTGCTGGAAAAATCCCTAATGGATATTTCCAAAGGTGGGGAGGAGCATCCGCTCCTGTCACGGACCTGCTGGGGGCTCTTTGCCCTCTGGCTCCGTGCGCTCTGCCCAAGAACAGCGTGTGCAGCAGGCTGTCACCGCTCTCTGCAGGGTGAAGCACCTTCAGCCAAGGTCAGTGCAAGAGCAAAACAATCCTGCCAGTAAAGCCTGCTACTAGAGAGGCAAACAATGATCCTTCCAAAGGAATTCATCCTTCTTCTCCCTTACAACTCTCCTGTGTCATCACACCGCAGAATGGTTTGGGGTGGAAGAGATCTTGAAAACGACCTAGTTCCACCTCTGTCCTGGGCAGGCTCACCTTCCTCTGGGCCAGGGTGCTGTGCTGTCGCAGATCAGGTGGCAGATCTGTGGAAATTGTAATGATATTATTAAGGCGTGTCTCTTATTGCCTTGCCATTCGTGAATCCCGAGGCTGTCTTGTCCTAGTTTAGCTTTCTGATGTGGAGGAGCAGAACTGCCAACTGATATGGAATTTGGTGCTCTCTGTGGAGTGACATCCTGTAAAATTTCTGTCCCAGGAATGCTGTCACGATGGCTCTGCTCCATAGAGAATGACACGGCCTGATTGTCAGCAATTTTTGCTTCTGCAATAGTGTAAAAATGCTAAAATTTGAACACGGCTTATTATTTCAAAAGAGAATATTTTAAAACTGGAAGAGATAGCTGAAATTACACCTGAAAGGTAGCAAGAGCAAATACATAGAATATTTCTCCCTGTTTGTAGATATACTTTTCATTCAAAATTATGCTGATGGGGATATGCTTTTATGTATTTAGTGACTTTACAGATTTCTTCCCCGAGTTTTTTGAGTTCATAGAATCATGGAATAATTCAGGTTGGAAGGGGCTCTAAAGATCACCTCGTTCCAAGCCTGGTGCCGTGGGCAAGGACACGGTTCCATGGACCAGGTTGCTCTGAGCCTGATCCCAGAGCACCAATGGGCCTTGGAACACTTCCAGGGATGGGGCAGCCCCAGCATGTGTGAGCAACCTGTGCCAGGCAGGTGCCAGAGGAGGAAGAAAGCCCTTCCCAGCTGGAGCAGAGGCTGCTGCAGCTTGGCGCAGCCTCGTGTCACCGAGCGTGTGAGACAAAAGGGCCCTTCCCGTGGAGGGAGAACGGCACTGAAAGATCTTTTTTGGGAGGAGCGGAGCCATGGAATGCCAAAGCAGCCTTCAGTTCTTGCAGCAGAGTTGGGAACAACTGGAAGCAGGAGCAGAGCTGGCCTGGTGCCTGGCAGCTCTGCAGGCAGTGGGGATGGAGAAGGTGCAGTTGTCTGTCTTCTTGGCTGAGTCTTGAAAAATGAGGCACTTTTCTGTAGTTCCTTTTCAAGCATTACGTGGCAGTTGCCCCTAGAAGTCCAAAGGCAGCTGTTTTTTTAGCAGAAGGAAGTCAGGAAGAGGCAAAGCAGGCAAAGACATCAGATAAGTCTGGATAAAAATCTTGGCTAAGCTGTTTTTTCCCCCTCCTCCAAACAGGCAATTCTGAAGCGCTGAGCAGAGATCTGCCCCCGGGAGGCAGAGCAGAGCCGATCTGTGAGAGCTGACACGGGAGCTGTGGTGAGGACAGCTGCTCCCCTGCCTCGGTGTGGGACCTGCTGAGCTGCCGTTCCTGTGCTGGGAGTGTTTCTCCTCTCATGCAGGCAAGCCAGAGAGCTCCTAGGGAAGGAGCAGGTAAGGTTGAAGTGCCGAGATCTCCCCGGTAAGAAGTGCCGTGACAAAAGGAAATGGCCTCAAGTTGCAGCAGGGAAGGCTCAGATTGGCTTTGAGGACCAATTTGTTCACTGAAAGGGTGGTCAGGCATAGGAGCGGGCTGCCCAGGGCAGTCCTCATTCCTGGAGACATTTGAAGCATGGCAAGATGTGGTGTTTAGGGACCTGATTTGGGTGGGGGCTTGGCAGTGCTGGGGCAGCAGCTGGGCTCAATGGCCTTAGCAGGCTTTTGCAGCCTAAAGGATGCTATGGTTCTGGAAAGCCTCGACCCCTCTGGCTCCGACACAGCACCTGGATGCTGACGGAAGGAGGCTGGTCATGGAGCCTGGAGGTGCCTGTGCCACAGGGAGGGAGAGGACAAGGCAGCGTCACCTGCAGGGAGGGTCTCGTCCCCAGAGAGCGGCCAGTGACTCCATCCGTGCCCGGGGCTCTGGGTGCACCCTCGGGGTGGACACCTGCCCTCAGGTTTCCCTCTGGGCACCCGGGGAGGGAACCGGGTCCATCCGTGTGGCAGCTCCAGGGCCTGCAGGCTCTGGGGCCCTGCAGCCGTGCGCCCTGTCACAGGGCGGCAGGGACGTGACGCTGCCCGGCCGCGCCGCTGGCCTGGGATCCTTGCTGCTTTCCTCCCGATCCCACATGGCTGTAGCAGCAATCTTGTGTCTTTTCTTTAAAAGTGTCCTTGGGAGAGTTCAAAGAGAGGGTAATTAGTTATGTCAAAGCCTACAGATTTGACCTGTTGGCACTCAAGAGAAAAGACAAGAACCTGCTTAGCATCCTTGTGCCTGGAAGTCATTGTGACCCAGGGAAGTGAGGAAGGGGCTGGCCGAGGTCACTGAGGCTCTGAGATGGAGGTGAGTTTGCATTCCAGTTGATTGGAACGGAGGCTCATCAGAAGTTTCCTCGGCTATCCAAGGCACAGAGCCCTGGAGGCAAGTGAGCCTGAGCTGCTGCACGCTTGCTGTGAGCTTTGGGGTGAGGGTGCATCGTTGCAGGCCTGGGATGGATTGAAATGCGCTGAGGAAAGCAGCGGGAGGGAGGGAGGGAAATGCTCTGTTAGCTTGTGCCAATTCTTCTGTCAGACTCATCACGGCGGGACAGCGTGAAGACTGAAAGTGTGAGAAGATGTGGAGGGGAAGAGAGAATCTGACGGGAGCAGCGAACGCACGAGTGCACGAATTTTGCTTTTTGCTTGGATGTAAACTCAGGAGTTGAAAGGAATTTGGGAGTGAGAAGGGACATTTCAGAAGGAGAAGAAGAAAAAGAGGTTGTTGTTGTTGTTACAGTCCTGGCAAAATCTTTTGTTCTAGCTAATAAAAGAAGTTAGTTTAAGAAATAAAAAGAAAAAAATGTAGTGTTTTTTTTTTTACTTGACTATTATATTCATTGGTGGTATATGGTGTGTTGTTTTATTTCTTGGTATTATTAACTCTGTGTAAATTGTTTTTTGAGTGAAGCTGACTTTCTGGATGGGTTGGTTTGTATTTGAGGCAGCATTAATTTCAATAGGATTGTTTCATAGATTTCTGATGGGTATTACTGGGATTTTGGTTTTGTTTGCTGTATGTATAAACATAGAGCTTTGGTAGGGCCAGCTGGGCTGCTGGAGTTTTGGGTGTGAATTTATGAGATGGCTTTTGTTAAATGCAGTTTTTAATTTTTGAAATGTTTTTCAATGTAGTGGTTTTAAGGTGGTTTTTAAGAATTCATTGTTTTGTTTTCTGTTGTTTGTAGTTGGTGTATGATAAGGGATGTGGTGTGACTTCTTGAACGCTATGGTTTTAGTGTTCCTAAGTTCTGATTTCTTTCTGGTTTGATAGTTGTTTTTTTTTTTATTTTTTGGGACAGGGGCATTTATATGGTGGGTTTTTATAGGCAATACGTTTTTTAATTTAGGTAGTGATATTTTTTAGTATTTTAATAGTTTAGGTTTTTGATTTTCATGGTTTTAATTATTTTTTTTAATTTTTTCAAATAACTTTTCTAGATGATAGGTTATTATTTGTGCATTAGCATAAAGGTAGAGCTTTGGGGACTTTTTTTAGTAATGTTTAGGGTCAGTTGTACAGTTTTGAGTCTCGTGAGTTGGTTTGATTTAATTTTTACTGGGTGTTTGTTTTTATTAGCAGTTGTGTCATTTTCAAGGTGTATTTGAGTTTTTTGGGGTTTTTGAGATACTGGTTTAGGAGGAAGTTTATGATGAGAATGTGCGGAGGTTTTGGGCTACTTTATAGTGGGGTTTAATATTTATTGACAGTTAGGTTTATTTGAGTTTTTATTAGGGTTCAATGACGTTGTGGGACGTTTGTTCCGTTAGTAATAGCAATGGGTTTTGTTTTGATGTGCTGCGATGGGACGAGCGTGTGCTGCGTGCCGGTGCTGACAAAGGTGCGGTATTGTTGTGGTTCTGGTGCGTGAGGTTAATGAACTTGTATGGTTTAATATAGAGGTGAAAATAGAAATAAATATACATTTAAAAATAAATATAACATTAGAGTGGTAGACATAAATATAGATAACAGATACATACATAAAACTATAATGCGTGGTATATAATTGTAATATATTATCATATAGATTAATGATAGTCTGTTATATATATATATACACAAAGATATATAAATATAGATTATAAATATAAAAACATTTAAATAGAGTTAAAATAAATGGGGGGGTGTTATTAGGTTGTAGGCTGGGGTTTTTAAATAAATGATAGCAATAAAATATCAATTCAGATATACAAATATATTTATTTAAATTAAATATTTATAGAGATTTGTATTTGTATATATAAGTAAAAAAAATATAATACAGAAAATACATATCTATTATATTAGAAGGTATTCTCTCTAATATATATAATATCTATGAATATAATAAATAAAAATATCTATATAAATATCATTATAATTTTGAAAAATAAATTTACCTGCTACATTTTAAATCTGGTTCACATAAAGGGGTGTCCTTGGTTTTTATTTGGTTAGAGGCAGGAGTTTTATTTGAAATAATGTAAGTAATATAGAAATGTGGATCTTAAGATAGAAATATATAATAAATATATAAAGAGAAATTGCTAAAGTATTAATACAAATTTATATATAAATATATGGAAGTAATATGAAGAGTTGTAGTATAGAATATAAATAATATTATATGGCAATATAAATTATAAATGGGAATATAAATATAGAAATATGTAAATATAGCTTAAAAAAAAGGGAATGTTTTGGCTTTTATTTAAGTAGAGGCAGGGGGTTTTTTTTGAATATTGTAAGTGTTACAGAAGTAAAAATCTTGACGCAGAAATATATAATCAATGTATAAAAATATGTATAAAAATTCATAAATAACTACTCGCATCAGATGTAATATAGAATATAAATTTGTTTATAACTTGACATTGATAAAGATAAATGTATAAGTAAGCAATAGACATTAATATACATGATAAATACAAATATGAATATAAAAATCAGACATAAGGATAAAACCTATTTAAATATTGTTTAAAAGAAAGGGTTGGGGTCTTTTTTATTATTGGGTTTGAGGCAGGGTTTTTATTTTAAATAATATGAATGTAGATATTATTGTTATATATTTCTAAATATTGAGATATACAATCAAGATCTAAATATATATATAAACACAAAATATTAGCAAATAGAAATAATAGGAAGAGATGTAATGGAGAATACAAATAAGAGTATACGTTAGTATACATTTTAAATGTAAATGTGAATATGAACCTGAAAAATAGAGTTTTAAAAAGTATTTAAATACAGTTGAGAAGACTGGGGTTCTTTTTGGCTTTAATGTGGGTAGAGGCAGGGGTTTTATTTTAAATAATGTAAGTGTTGCAGATGTAAAAATCCTAACACAGAAAGATATAATAAATATATAAAGATATGAATAAAAGTATATAAAAAATATAAGTAATAGGAACACATGTAACATAGAATATAAATTATAACTAAATCGCTAAATAGAAATGCAAAATCGATCATACATCAGTAAACATTTTAAATACAAATTTGAAAAATATTTTTTTTAAGATTTTAAATACAGTTGAAATGAAAGGGGGTTTTATTTGCCATGTATGGGGTAGAGGCAGGGGTTTTGAGTACTGTAAGTGTTACAGAAGTAAAAATCCGAACAGAAATATATACTTACTATGTAAAAATATGTATAAAAATATACAAATAAATTTAAGTTTTAGGGATATATGCAATATGGAATAGAAATGTATTCATAAAAACAAATGTATAAATGGACAGTATACATCAATATACATTATTGATAGAAATGTGAATATTAAAAGGAAAAAAACCTTTTTTTAAATTTTTAATTTTCTTTTTTTTAAGAAATTGTTGTGGTTTTGTTTTGTTTTTTTTTATCCTATTAGATTAGAGGCAGAAGTTTATTTTTCCTCTTCGCGGTTGTTTTGGGGCATTTATTTCAGAGCAGTTTTCAGCGGGGGCCTCCCCTGTTCTTTTTCGCCGCCTTCCCTGCCCGCAGCCCCGAGGCGCGCTGCGCCCCCGGCTGGGGCGTGCGGCAGTGCTGCCGCCTTGTGGGCAGAGCGCGGTACTGCAGCCCTGCACCGAGAAGCCGCCACCTTGGGAGTGGCGCATCGCGGATGTCGCGGACTTTTAATTGACCTTCTCATCATGGCGGCGAAAAGGGTGGGGAAGTGGAGGACCGGGGTTGGTCTAAGTGGACTGCCTGCATGGAATACCGACGCCGGCGCGGCCCCGGTGGTATTTTCTGTGGCATTTCAAGTGTACCCGATACGGGCCGCGGGCTCAGCGGCGCCGCGGGCGGGCGTATTTTGGCGGGTTTGTGCCAGGCATGTGGGTTAAACGCCTCGCTGTGCCGGGGTCCTCTGACGGCCGCTTTCGCGCCCTGAGGGAGCCGAGCCGGGCCGAATTGTTCCGAAGAGCCGAAGAGCCGAGTGTGGCCGAAAAGAGCCGAGTTTACCCGAAGAGCCGAGGGAAGCCGAAAAGAGCCGAGTTTACCCGAAGAGCCGAGGGTGGCCGGAAACAGCCGAGTTTACCCGAAGAGCCCAGTGCGGCCGAAAATAGACGAGTGTGGCTGAAAACAGCCGAGTTTACACCAAGAGCCGATGATAGCCGACTGGAACCGATAGCCGAATGTGGGCGACACTGGCCACATTTAGACAATGTGCTGAATATGACCGAATTTAGCCGAACCGTGCCGAGTTCGGCCGAAGAGCCGAACTGAAACGACTTTAGACCAAGAGCCGAACCAAGCCGAATTCAGCCGAGTTTCATTAAACAGAACCGAACAACGCCGCAGCCCTCTGCCTGCAGTGCGCCTGTGCAGACGGCAGGGATCGCTGTGCCTGCAGTGCTCCGGGGCAGACGGCAGGGGGCGCTGTATAAAGTAAGTATATAATATCAACTATCTATAAGAAGGAATAAAAGCTCTATGTCACGTGCAGCAGTATAGAAAATTTCAGGCTCCCAGGGAATAAATAGTTTTCTTTAAATCATTTTCGTTTTGGAGGTTTTTTTACTCCCAGGTAGCCTGAAAGCTACTACTGGTGCTTTTTTTATTCCAAAGCTAGAAAGGAAAACCAAGATTAGATATACAGGGAAAGAAAGAAAGAAAAGAAAAAAAAGACAATAAGGAAAGGAACTGAAAGGAAGAAAGAAAGGACAGAGGGGCCAGCTGTCTGTCATCTGAAATTCTGCATTGCACAGGATGCCTCCCAGACGCCAGCTGCCAGCACTGCAAAGTCAGGCTGCTTTGAAGGTTCAAAATGTCCCCAGCAACGTGCCATCAGGAACCTGAGCTGGTGAGTTACACTTACCTGGGGCAATGGGGGGCATTTGCGTCCAGTGCCCGGGGGCCCTTAGTGGCCGGCTGGCTCCTCATATTCTGCATTGCACAGGATGCCTCCCGGAACCCAGCTGCCACCACCGCAGTGTCTGGCTGGTTTGAGGGTGCCAAGTGGCCCCAGCAATGTTCCATCAAGAACCTGAGCTGGTGAGTTACACTTCCCTGTGTAAAGGGCGGCGTTGGTGTCCAGGAATCAGGGGCCCTTAGTGGCAGGCTGCCTGCTGAAACTCTGCATTGTGCAGGATCCCTCCCAGACCCAAGCTGCCACCACCGCAGGATCTGTCTGGTTTCAGGATCCCAAATGGCCCCAGCAATCTTCCATCACGAACCTGAGCTGGTGAGTTACCCTTACCTGTGTAAAGGGCAGCACTTCTGTTCAGAGGTCAGGGGCCCTTTGTGGCCGGCTGCCTGCTGAAATTCTCCATTGCGTAGGATGCCCCCC